ACCCAAACCGGGAGTTGCCCAGTCACGTGTGAGAATGGCTCCCCACAGTAGACCAACTAGCTGGGTTAGCCCAAGGCTGAAGGAATTTACAAAATGGGTGATTTTGAAACAGTAAAGGTCCTGGGCACACATGAGGGGAATTGTGGCACAGTGTCCTGCAGGTGAGGGGAACTGATGTTAGAATAGCCTCGTAAAAGAGATAGGTTTAGCTCTCTTCCCACCTAAGGTGCATGGTGAGCTCCTTGAACTCAAGAACCTCAGTGCCCAGAACAGAGCTGGGCATGATGTGTGGAGTCATAGAGGAAGAAGAGGAAAGAGCAGCCCGAGAGCCAGCAGGGGGACAGGGTCAACTCCCTGTTCTGCCAGCCCTGACGTGGTCACAGAGCTCAGTAAGGGGCAGCAGGGAGAGAAGCTCTGTAAGGGGTTGTGTGCTAACCACACTTAAGAGGAGGTGGAGGATATGAAGCTCATGCAGAGAGGATATGAGGCTCTGACCCCCACAGCTCAGCAGAAACAGCTCCAAGTCCCTCACTTCTGCTGAAAGATCCAGAAATACGTCCCTGTGGTCATTTTACTCTCTAATCTCAAACCTTGAAATAAAAGATGATTTTTAAAGATTTGTCTTTCCACTGATATCAAATCCAAGAGGACCAGGAGTTGCAATACATTCTGATACGGTACCTAATTTCTGTTCTCAAGACTAAAAGGCTCAGGGGTCACTCCAGTTAAACTGGGCTAACTGGGCTGCACAAAATAGCCACACAAGAGACACAAATACCTTTTTCTTTGGGGTTGCTGTGACGGCTTCTCTGACCTTAAGGGTCTGCAGAAAGAGAGAGAGAGAGCGAGAGCACGCGCTGACCCCTTTTATTGAGGAGAAGTTTTTTAAATGAGGCAAGGGGTCAGGTTTCAGGGGGCTGAGTCTGTCTTCATGATGTCCACTGTCAGCAGGTTGACTGACACCTGGGTAGGCCACACCCAAGGGCACAGTAAGAGAAGGGGACACACGCAAGGCACTTCCATGGAAGATTCTATCCTAAACAGGGCAAAGAGTTATATTACAAAGGAACAGGTGAGCCTAGCTTCACCCATGGGGCTGTAGCAAGACACACCCATGCACGAGACACCGACCCTCGCACCCAAGAAGGGTGGGGAAAGCTCCGCCACATTTCTGTGTCTGAGAGCCTCAGCACCCAGCAGGGTAGTGTAACTCAGTCCCATGTAAGGTTGGCCTCCCACAATATAGGTAGATGGGTTCCCAAGTGCCTGCCCACCGTGGTTCTTGGGGAGCAAAGTGCGCTTCCTGACTACCTGAGGGTGATACTGGGGAGATCAGGTGAGAGTGAAACCCCAACTCAGCAGTTTTCATCTCTTCCCTTTGGAGAACATGTCCTGGGTCTGTGAAAGTCTTGAAAAAAAAGTGACAATTCATTAATCAATACCTAAAAAAATCGATTTGTCATTCTCCCTGGACACAACCTAGCATATCAATAATATTTACTGGACATGTAAAACAGCTGAGTGAGCTGGATTTTTTTTTTTTTTGCCTTTTCCCCACTTTTTTAGAAAAACAGTCTGAGGCAATCTATTAGGTACATTGTCCTGTAACTGAAAAACAAACCTCATATCCATGTGGACTTTGGTTTGAAACCACATCTAAGGATGTGGGGAAAAGGGTACAGGATGTGGGGAAAAGGGTACAGGATGTGAGGAAAAGGGTACTCTTGTACATTGCTGGTGGGACTGCAAATTGGTGCAGCCAATTTGGAAAGCAGTATGGAGATTCCTGGGAAAGCTGGGAATGGAACCACCATTTGACCCAGCTATTCCCCTTCTCGGACTATTCCCTGAAGACCTTAAAAGAGCGTACTACAGGGATACTGCCACATTGATGTTCATAGCAGCACAATTCACAATAGCTAGACTGTGCAACCAACCCAGATGCCCTTCAATAGATGAATGGATAAAAAAATGTGGCGTTTATACACAATGGAGTATTACGCAGCACTAAAAAATGACAAAATCATGGAATTTGCAGGGAAATGGATGGCATTAAAGCAGATTATGCTAAGTGAAGCTAGCCAATCCCTAAAAACAAATGCCAAATGTCTTCTTTGATATAATGAGAGCAACTAAGAATAGAGCAGGGAGGAAGAACAGGAGGAAAAGATTAACATTAAACAGAGACATGAGGTGGGAGGGAAATAGAAAAGGGAAATTGCATGGAAATGGAGGGAGACCCTCATTGCTATACAAAATTACATATAAGAGGTTGTGAGGGGAATGGGAAAAAAAACAAGGAGAGAAATGAATTACAGTAGATGGGGTAGAGAGAGAAGATGGGAGGGGAGGGGAGGGGGGATAGTAGAGGATAGGAAAGGTAGCAGAATACAACAGTTACTAATAGGGCATTATGTAAAAATGTGGATGTGTAACTGATGTGATTGGGGTAAAAATGGGAGTTCATAACCCACTTGAATCTAATGTATGAAATATGATATGTCAAGAGCTTTGTAGTGTTTTGAACAACCAATAAAAAAAGAAACCTCTAATTTTCCCCTGTTTACGTAATGAAATAACTAAGCCATTGTTCATTATATATATATATAAACACAAGGATCTGTGACAAAAGTGAGATTTTGACCCATGCCTTAAGTCAAGCTCTAATTTCTGACCAGATCCACCCTGTCCCAGCCGCAGATCCCTGATCCCTGACATGGATGAAAGCCTGGCTGCTATGTCATTCTTCAAAGGCCTGCAGGTCACAGGAGCTGTAAGACAGAAGTTTTAGTGAATCTTCACCCAGAACCCATAAGGCCTCCCAGTTAGACCTTCCCATTTCTAGTATGTTCTGCCTCCCTTCTTGGGATTAATTGGCCTTTCCCATGTGAGGAATGCCTTTTATGGTAATGAGAGGATCTATAAACTGACCTCCAGTGGCCTATGAGCACACAGCTTTTGTCCCCTCCTTCTGTTTTCTCTCCTTTAACAGACTCAGCTAAAATGAGCTGGCCACGATCCCTCAGGCAGAGCCGGCCCCCCTGTGTGTGCAGGGGCTGGGTATACTCATTTGGCATAATTCCCTAGTTGACTGTTTGTGAGTCCAGATTATATAGGGTGTCAGGTGCTATATAGGGGATTACTTGTGCCAGTGTATTGGGGGTGTTGAATAAGATCCATCCCAGCACATTCAACAGGAGCTCCATGAATTGTGCTCCTGAGTGGAGGTCTCACCTGCATCAGATGCGGTTGGATTCCCACCCTGCCCACACCCCTACCCCCACCAGCATCTTGAGCTCTACAGGGCACCCAGATTATGACAGTGGCTACATGCACCTATTGGCGGTTTGCTGTGTGCTCTGCTTGGTACCTGCTGTCCTGGGACAGAGCAAGTGATCAGGCAGAGGCTCAGCTGCAGGACAAGGGAGAGCTGGAGGAAGAGGGGGTTGGATTTCCAGGACATCCTCCTGCTCACCAAAGTGAGT